TAGCATCATTGCTGACTTTTATTTAAAACTCTTTATTTTAATCATTTTATTTTACTAGCACAGCTTGTTTATAACCACTTGCCGATTGGCGAACTGTCAATTTTCGATTATCGATAACTCTACAGCAACTGACGATAGTTGCCATTCGTAATACAAATTTTCTTCCTAGTTGCGTTGCCAGCTGGCAACCGAACCGTGGTTACGTTGTGATCCGTAATCGACCCATTGGCGTGTAGCCGCCAAAAAGTAAGAAAACAAATGCAAAATCATACATTTTTCACAATTTTCTAACACTTCGCGTCACCATCGAAAGCAAAATTCTGTTCGACAGAAAATTCGATACTCAACGATAATTTCGACACGGTAGCATAGCTCATAATACGAATTTCACATTCGATATTCGTTCTTCGATAACCAGCGAAGATCGAAAATCGAATGCAACTCATAATAGGGGCCACTGTTGAGTAACAATGTTTTCATCACAAAAAGCCCCAGAAACTCGATTTTCTTAAAAACCTGTCCGAAGTCGTTTTCTTTTTGGTCTTAAATTACTTAGAAGACATGATAGAAAAGAAATTCGGAAGAAAATTTGAAGTGTCAAGACCTTTGGGTTGAACTTGGTTCCGACCCACCGTGAAAAGGCGAATGTTGGCAAATTAACTGTTTTGACGAGTGAGGTGAACTCGACCTATACGGGCCTTTATACTCATAAAAAGTACAAAAGTTACCCAAAGTAACACCTCAAATTTGTACTCGCAATAACTTAGATCAAGGCTGACGAAACTGCGGCCTGCGGGAGTGGATGGTATCAACCCACGATGGTATCTTGGTATCAACCTGATCCCTATGCCTGTGTCGGTGGCACGCGTACTCCGTTTACCTGCCGCCGACTCGACGATACGACGCATGCTTACTAAACTACACTCTAAAAAGTGCATGTAAAATTACTACTGCTTAGAGCTAAATTGTAATAAAATATTTGCAAGCTATTGTCTCTATAAAATTCATATGTATCGGCATCATAGCCATAGGTGTGCAATAGTTCGAAAAGTTCAGTCTAGAAGTGATTATAAGTGTAATGTTTGTGGCTTTGAATCAGATATAAAAAAGATTAAATGCCATTTAAATATTCATTTGCATAATGGTGTTAACATTGAGTGTCCTTTTTTAAATTGCTCATATATGTATATTAAAAAGTAAGTGCTCCTTCAAGCTCCATATATACCGGCATCATAAAAATGAAACAGTTGAAGAAACTGTGGAAGATATTTCTGTTTATCGTGAAGCAGAACTTCAAACTGCAATCGATCCCCAGAGAGAAACGGAAGTAGTTCATACCCAACGTCGTTTTATTGAAAACAACTTGGCTTCTTTAATGATAAAATTGAAATGTATGTTTCAAGTTTCCGACGTTGCGTTAAATTTTCTAACTGCTGAGTTAAAAGACCTAATAATATTACAAAATATGGAAAATAAAACAACCATAAATAAAATATGTAGGGAATTAAATATTTTGGAACATAAAGATGACCTATTGCAAGGCGTTATGGAAGGTTCATTCACACTAAGCCTTAGTAAATTGGACTCAAGTCACAAACGAAAAATACTTTTAAAAGACCGAATTAGCTACGTTGTCCCAATAGAGATATTCCTCGGTTTTGATCAGCGTCATAACAAATGTTTTTTCCATTACATTCCGGTTTTAAAAACTATTCAGTCTTTATTAAGTGACGCAGATTTTTTCAATCTTTTTAATAGTAAGAAGACTTTTCAGAATGATGTGTTCTCCGATTACAATAATGGCTCATTATATAAAACCAACAACTTTGTTAATGGAAAAGCCAAACGTATTGAATTATTACTTTTTCAGGATGCTTTTGAAAATTGTAATCCTTTGGGCTCATCCAAAGAAAAGCTTCTAGGTATTTACATGATGCTTGGCAATATTCCAGTTGAGTACAGGTCTGGTATCCAAAATATTCAACTTGTTCTCCTTTGTAAAGAATCTTTTGTAAAGTCCTTTGGTTTTGAAAAAGTTATTCAGCCCTTAATTACAGATATGAAAACGTTAATATTTTATCTACCTCAAATATACCGTTGCTGACTATTATGAGCAACCGCAACAATTTTTTAAATCGAGTACCGAATCTAAAAAAAACGTGTCTGGATCCTAATATACCTACAAAGCAAAGAAGGAGATCTGCTTTGCTTCGAAGCACTTGTGCTAATTGGCAGCCAAAAGACTTTTACTCGGATGACACAAAAGCTACTGCCGAGGTAAAGCAAAATTATTTAAAAAATTTATTTATTTTACATGGAAAATTGGTTAACTCTGACGAAAAAAGTATAATCAGATCATATATGAAAGATACCTTCCCAATGCAAAGAGAGTATTTTAATAATTTGGAAGTTATACCCTCCATTGCCGAGATAAAAGTTGAATGGCCTTACATTTTTGAAACCGATTGCTTATGCCAGCATTTTGAAGAATTGATGGGCTTAAAGTCTGACACGTTTGCTGAAAATTTTCTAAACACAAAAGAAAAAATTTTTTATTTTTCAAAAAATTTATAAAAAATCCGGTGGTCGATGATTCCAGTAAACGGTCAATACTCACCGGAATTGCAAAAAAAAAAATTCAACGAAGACTTAGGTTTTTTTGCTTTTGGATTTTGAGGTAAGGTCTCTTTCTTCACAAAAGATTGTTATAACGCAATTGACGGGCATGTATTGTTTTAATTTTCAGTTCGGATTAAAAGTGGATAGCATTGTCGCCAGGGTTCCAACAAACACAGCGTTCATTGCGTTTGTCGGTAAGTATCTTAACATATTTATTCAAAAAAAGCATATATCATTCACCCCTTAATATTTACAGAGGATGATGCAACAGGTGGAAAAGTTGTGGCCTACATTTTAATTGAAAAAACCGTAGTTAGTAAAATAGAAAATTGTAATCTCTTGCTTAACTTACAACTAGTGATAAATTTCTTTTTTGTATCTATACTAATTATATAAAGAGAAGTCCCTTTTTTTTGTAACAGGTAATCTCGCGAACGGCTGGTCCGATTTTCATGAAATTTTGTATATAAATAGCTTTCGGTAACCACCATGTTTTAGGATAAAAAAAATTTTACTTTTTTCGGGTAGGTGGACCAGGGACCGGTCTATTCGAAAAAATCTTATTATAGCCCGATTTTCTTAAAATTTAGTACGTAAGTAGCTTTTTAGCATATATTAGCATATATGACCCATTTTTTTCCGGGAAGTGGCCCAGGGCCTATTCGAAAAAATCGTATTTACGGTCCGATTTGCTTAAAATTCGGTACGTAGGTAGCTTTTTGCCTGGATAAGCTTATAGATTCCTGTTTTCCAATTTTCATGCAATTTCGAATATAAATAGCTTTACGTAACGATCATATCAAGGGGCGAATTCGTCACGATATACGAAATCAATCGCATACCCTTGGAGAAAAATTTTAGCTATTTTAAAAAGGGGGGTGACATCTCCCATACAAACCGATTTTTTCATACTGCTTATCTCTGGAAATTTTTTGGTAGAGTTCTAGAGTTTTGTATGGAGATGTACGAAATAAATCGCATACTCTTGGAGAAAAATTGGAACTATTGGAAAAGGGGGCGTGGCATCTTCCATACAAACCGAATTTTTCATACTGCCTATCTTTGGAAGTGTTCATGGTAGAGTTCTGGAACTTGGTATGGAGATATACGAAATCAATCGCATACTCATGAAGAAAGAGGGCAGCTGTTGGAAAGGGGGGCGTGGAACCTCCCATATAAATCGAATTTTTATACTGCATATCTCTGAAAGTATTCATGGTACAGTACCGGAACTTCGTATGGAGATATGTATATAGTTGAAATCAAGCCGATAGTCATGGAGAAAATTTGGGCTATTTGAAAAGGGGTGTGAGGCCTACAAACGTACCGACCTTTAGCTATCTTTGAATGAATTTTTTTATTCTTCTGTAGGTGTGTTTGTGAGTGAAATCCTCCTAAATGGTTGTACGGATTTTAACGAAACTTTTTGTGTATTTGAGTGGGTCTCTGGATGGTTTAGTTTCACAATTTAATCCGACAGTTGGCGCTGTAGTTGAGTTATTACTAAAAATCTTATTTATGATCCGATTTGGCTAATGTTTTAAATATGTATGCAATACTATTGCAAAAACGTGCTGCCAAGTGGTGCTGAAGTCGAGCTATTACTAAAAATAGCCAAGTGACAAAAGGGGCCGTGAAGGTCAGATTAAATCGACCTGTTGCACCATTGAGTATATCGAACGCTCCTGCGTTGCAATTGGCCCAATGGATGTGATTTTCCAATATTATTATGCGTTCAAACTTTTAAGGTATTTCGTCTGAAATAAGTATATGTATATTGCATTTCTGTAGAACAATGATTCGCACCCATTTTGAAATTGCCACCTACTATACTGTAAAGCTTCTAGGACATTCACTATAGAACCGGGTCATTGTTGCCGCCAGGGAGTGAAGAGGAAAAAATTTTTTTTCGCTTTGCGAATAACCGTGCTATGAAATGCCGCACAACTGGAGAATTTCAAGAACGGATATAACACTTTCCTTAGGTTATTTAAAGCGGCAAATGACCACCAAACCTTAATCTTAGCAGACAAATGTGCCAATGAAAATCGTAAACGTGAATTGTTGGTGAAAATGTTGGACCAAAAAGTTTCAATAATATATATAAAAATTTTGGGCGGGACGAAGTTCGCCGGGTCTGCTAGTTTATTTATATTTATATGTACATATGTACCAGTGTTGGCACCAATCGATTGATTTTTTAATCAATTAGCTAATTCGATTAAATTCAATCCGATTACAGTTCATCGTGATTAATTTTACCTTTATTAAAAAGTTAATGGTAACCGCGATTAAAAAAAAATAATAACTTTAGCATACATATGTAATGTATGTTTGTTAAAAGATGTGGTTTTCTATCTATCAAGAAATACAAATAGTATGTATGTATTATGAACTTTTCTATTACTTACAGAGGGCTGCAACGCTTATGGCCATGCTTGTTACGGTGGACATGGAAAACGTTCACTGGGCTCATTGAAGGATGAGATGCGGGTGAATAATGCGTACAGAAACGAGAGAGAGTTATTAAGTCCAGACGAGCTACTACAGGTCATGCCCAACGAAGCGACAGCACTATTGCCAGAAGGGGAAATTGAAACGTTTCCCAGATATCGACTCATCAAGATTATGAGGTCATTGGTAAGTTGTGGAAAATGTTGCATGCATACTAGGGTGGTCCCTCAAAAATTACAACATCTAAGTTTTTTATTAGGCATCCCTTTATTTTGTTCTACCTTAAAAAAATAGGAGTCGCTGGCAGCATTTACAAAAAATTTAAATTTTGTTTTACGTCTCAAAAGTTCTACAAAATTTGTACCAAGGTGAATTCATATTAGGTGGTGTTGTTTTATCAGCTTTGAATTTCGCTGGTGAGTGAATGAAAACGTGGGAGTGTTGGTATTTTATATCGCCATTTTTCCTTCGGGGAAGAAAAGCTGAAATTGGACAATGATCCGCTAAAAGCGACAAGAAAATAGAAATAATTTTTTTATTTGTAGAATCGATACCACTTTATATGAATTCGCCTTGATTTGTACTTGAAGCCTGATAAAGTAGACATTTCCTTGAAACTTATTTATATAAATTCCTTAACTCCCTGGATCATAGCTGGTCAAAGTCAGTATTTTCTCGAACTTTTGAATTTAAAAAAAATATATAAAATTTTTTTAAACCCCGATAGCGGCCCCAAATTTTCTTTTTAATTTTGTAATTTAGTTCTAAGTTCAAATAATGTTGATATTTTTAAGAACCACCCTAATGTACACTTATTGCAAAGTAGGCCTATGCTCATATGCACATACTACATATGTACATAGTATATATGTACGTGCATATATTTGTGTATGCAAGTGCACTAAAATTAACATTTTTTTCATTTTCACTGCAGTTGAGCGGACACCTGAAACGACCTAACGAAATCGACTACCCCATTTCAGCTGAGACATTCAGCCGGGACAACAGCAACGACTTCAACTGAGATGCCAAACAAATTTCAACTACCCCCCAGCGAACCATATAGCCTATTTAATTTATCTAACCACAGACACACACAAATGGGAACGAAAAACAAATTGCATTTGACTGCAAAAAAAATTAAACTCACAATTAACAATGGAAATTTATTTTTATTTTATCAAGGATGAAAATGTAACTAAAAAAAAATATGTAAGAATGTTAACAAAGATAGCAAATACAGGTATAAAAAATATCTTTTAGATTTCTTTTTTTTTCAATAAATCTATAGAGACGTCTTTATGTCTGTATGTATAAACACACTTAGCTACAGCTGAAATTTCAAGGGCTGGAAAATTTCAGTAAAAGCCATCTAAAATACATAAATGACACTTGCATTTCATATGTACATACACAACAGCTGACGAAATATTCTAAGGATTTTAGTTATAAAATATTCTGACATAAAATTCTATTTAGTATAAGGCAAGTGAAATCGTAACAGAGCTCTAAAAATGTTCTAAAAATCAAAAATTAAAAATAAAGAAATTCAAAGACTCTAGGATACATATAATTATATACCAACCATGACTATGTACACATGTAAATGTTAATAAATTATTTTAAAGCTTGAAATTTATAGAAAAATCTTTATTCGTAAAGTAGAAAAATATTTATAAGGTAAGTGGAATCGGTAAATAAAGTACAAGATAAAAAGAATTGGGCGGTATATAAAATCATTAGCTTGCAGGGACTTTTTCTGTAAAAGCCTGCAAAACTGCACTAAAACGTTGCATCATTTGGAGTCATAATTTTCTGGAAATTTAGGACCACGGATAAATCAATGAATCCAATTTTTTATATCTATCCAGATGTACATACAAACGTAAGTTATGTATGTACGTAGGATCACGCCAATTCAGTGAAAAAAATGATGCAGGCAAAAGGGACATGATGAAATCGTACCCAACGTGAGCAATGTGGGTATGTATTAGGGTGTTCGATTAATCGGAAATCGGTTTTATTTTACAAAATTCTATGTTTGTATGATGTCATGACCAAAAATTACAATAAAACCAATAACAGGTAAGATAGCTTTTATTTAAAAAAGAACAAAACAAAATAAGTTCAAAGTTTTTTTTTTTAGATCATAAGCTCTTGGCGCCATAGCCGAGTGCTTAGATCTGCCTACTGCCACTCGGAATGCCCATGGTTCAGTTTCCGGTCCAAGTGCACTTCTGCCATAAAAAATCTTCTCCGGAAATGGAGTAAAAACGTAGAGATCTCCATTTGTGTCACAACATCAATTATCAGAACCCGAATAGGAGGAGAAGCTCGGCAAAATACTTAGAAATCGCCAATCATTCATTTCTTTGAATCAAATATGATATACTTGTTCAACTCCAAATAACCTAGGATACAATTTTAAAAGTATTTAGGGGTTTCCCTTAAACTGGAAAAAAGCTTGAAAACTTCGAAAAACTCAAAACTTTTATTGAGGTCAGGATGTGCTTGAAATGAAAAAAACCGGTTTGTTATATAAAAAAATACGGGTTATTCGGTTTGGAAAAACCGAATCAACCACCCTTGGATATATATACATTAGACTGCGTCACTCACTATAGAAAAAACTGTTTCCATTGGAATTATAAAATATATTATATTTTAAATTTTTCACCAAAATATTTCGGAAAAGTAGCTGGACCGATTGGAAAATACCTCCAAAAATTAATAAAAATAGTGTCTTAAAGATTTTTTTGAAAAAATACCCTCAAATGGTAAAACGGTTTAGGCTTAAAAAATTTGCTTGTGACATCGATATAGGGAACTGAAATACTTGAATGCGCCGAGTATAAAATCGCCTGAAATCTATGTTCATTAAGGTGGTCCAAAACTGCATGTGAAAAAGTAAAGTCGGAATTTTTATGCTCTCACACCCTAGGATTGTTCTATACCGAAAACAATATATCCCTACTTTTTATTTTTAAATCAAAAAATATATATAGGTCGCCCCATGATAAAAATATAGTAAGGTAGAACCGCTGAGAGTCACTTTTAAAATTCTTGACGTTTCCAAACAATTTAATTTTTAAATTTACTCACAAACTCACACACACATTTTCATTTTCAATCTCAAGCAACAACAATTTCGAACAATTTCATTTCTTTATTATCACATTTATATGATTTTAAAATGTTGGCAAACTTCAAAAAAAAATCATGGCCGACAAATTGAGAGAACGGTTATACCTTGCTATGTTTTTATCATGGGTCGCCCAAAGTGCTTAAAGTTTTTCATGTATTTTATATGGGGAAAAAATACTTTTCGTGGAAATGGAATAGAATTCTTGAAAATCAATATTTTTCGATGGGAAAACTCTGTTTCTCTTCAGCAGATTCCTGACTGAAACTGACCGATGCTGAGCCACACATATCCCGATAGGTTCATAGCGCTGCCAATTTGAGAACAATGGCATAGAAGATGCTCTAAGGTTTCCGTGGCCTCGTGCTTGAGCCAGCAGAATATGCCCGTAAGCGGCCCGGTGGCAAGTGTGCAATCCTTCCTTGATAGCTTTAACTAAAAGCGAGTATGTATACATAGTTGGTTTCGCTGTTTTCGAGCATATTTTTTTGCATTTTGCAGGTTGTTAACTCTTTCCAGCTAGTCCCGAACTGCTTAATCATATCATGGCCAACTTCGTTTTAATAGTGTTGGAGTGGTATATGAATTTAGTTTGCCTGTTCGAAAACCAGAAAGTACCTCTTTGTTTCACCATTGTGTAAGTGCCTCCTTTTTACACCTTAAATGCTTTCATGGATCTACCACCGCTTGGTTGGCTGTTATTGCAGAAGTAATACTCAAAGAAGCCAGTTCATGGATCAAAGGAATCGCTGGTCATTCGGATATTTTAGCCATACCAATGGTTCTCGGGTGTGTCATAAAGAAGTATTTGCCATCCATGAGGCAGCATGGATTCTCGCTCGCATACCTAAAACAGACAAACACGTGGATATTGGGAGAGATTGGAAAAGTGACGGATTAGCAAGGAAATAAGGTTCTTATGTATATCAATGGATCCATGCAGTTTCAAAACCATAGAAGAAGATTACGTAACCAAACAACTAGCGCTGTGCTCTTCACTGGAAAAGGAAGCAAGGACGGCCTTGTTCCCCCTGCTCCTAAGGAAGTCGCTATTCACAGTTTTTCGAAGTAAAATATTTAGGTGTAATCCTTGATAGTCAACTTTTATGGATGTCCCACGATGAGTCAAAGACCTCCAAAGGCTAACAGCACATTGGGGTCTATGGGAATCCTGCAGACTTACACCTCTATGTTGTGTGTGTGGTGGGCAAGGCATTCAATCAGTAGCTTGGAAAATGTGTTTGCCAAATTTCAAAGAACGATCGCAGTGTGACGAACGGGAAAAAGCGACAGAAGAATATAGGGGATGGCACCCCCGCCATCACGATTAAGATTAGATCGAGATTGAGATTGAAATTAAGATTAAAATAACTGTTCATTATTATGTAGAAAAATGCTCTTATAATGCGCGAAGGCATTTTTTCTTAAGGTTCATTCGATTTTCAAAAATAAAGACTCAAATTATAGGGTTTGGTTAATAAACGTGCTAGGTTTTATTTTTTCGGAAAGAATTGCCACTTGTCAAAAAATTAAATTCAAATTATTTAATAACTTAAATCAATTATTGAAGTATGGGTATCAGTCGTTATATTTTTAAAAAGGCTTTATGTATTTTTTAAAGTGAAAGTACCTACCATCCATTGCGACAGCGTCACCGCCACCGTCACCATCACCGTCAACGATGCTTATGCGTCAAGTTACACACAATTCGTTTGACATTGCGCTCGAAAAATCATTAACTCGCTGATACTCTTTGCAAAATTTGTAGTTTACTTTTTTAACTTCTTCTGTTAGGTTTTCCTCCATTATTTTTTACATTTCGTTTTTCTATACATATTAAAATTTTCACAAACTGGAAAAATTTACGTCCAAACATCGTATAAGCAAAATTGAGAGTTGAGCTAATTTGTGCGGCACCGTCAACGTCAGCTTGTTCATGTAACTTACTTCATACAAATACGCCGAATCAGCTTTTTTTGACAACTGCCGGTGACGGTGACGGCGACGCAATGCACGTTATGTACTTTCACTTTTAACTACAACTAGGAGAATTTCCACCTGTTTAAAAAATTAAATTCAATTTAAACTGAGGCAATTAAGTAATTGAGATTGGTGCCTTAATTTGGGTGTCAGACGAAAGCGATTTCAAAAGGTGTTACATAATTTGAAAATATTTTGAAGAGGGTTGCCACCTGTTTGAAAGGCCAAATTCAATTAAATTATCCGCAAGCTATATATAATATTAATAAATGGGTTTTAAACGAATGAATGGTAAGAAATTTTTCGTTTGACCACCTAGGGCCGGTTGTTCAATGTCTGGTTAGCACAAATCGAAGGTAGAAGCTCCGGTTAAATACAACGACTGCTTTATCGATCACATGATATGTGCATGATGTCGAAAACGTCGATAACGATGTTTAACGGGAGGTAGTTATAACTAGACATTGAACAATCAGCCGTTAGAACATTTTCGAGGTATTTGAATAGGGTTGCCATTTGTTTAAAAGGTTGTATTCAGATTATTCAGGGCCAGTTCCTCAATGTCTTGTTAACACTAACTGCAGGTTAAACATCGTTATCGACGTGATCGACTCCATAACATATAACAGGGAGTCGATAACATCGATATAAATGCGATAGCCAGGCGGCATACAAGGCCCTCTCATGATTTGAGTTCAAGTAATCCTTGGTTCTTAAGTGCATTAATAAGCTCAACAGCCTGAGGAGACTCCTCTACACCTGCTTCGCGAGTGCCAATCGGTCGCGAGAAGACGGTAGAGGTATCTAGCCCAATTCTGGTCAAGTGAACCAAATGAAGAATTGATACAATCGCTAACCCCTGGGAATCTTCTCAAATTTTTCGGTTCTCTAGGATTAGATGAGGTTCTGTAAATTGTTCGAGGGCACAATAGTTCTTTTGGCCGCACTGCATACCTCTATTATTTATATATATATCTAACCTGCGATTAGCATTAACCAGACATTGAGAAACTGGTCTTTAGGGCCGTTTTCACCATCTCCGGTTAACACTAATAACCAGTTAAACAATTGTGTGCAAATTTTTTATCCGGATCCCGATCATTTAAGTTTTTTATTTTACTTCATTATATGGG